AATTATTAATTATAAACATTTAATTCAAATGCGAAAATTATTTGAGATAATTTGTTGAAAAAATAAGTAAAGCACTTTACTAATATTGCAAAAAAAAAAAAAAAAAAAAAAAAACTTCTTAGAAGAGTTTTTTTTTTTTTTTATTTAAAAAACAAAGCAAATTTTATAAATTTGGATAGGATAACAGAATGAAAGTTTGGTTGAATCACTTAATTTTTTTTTTTAAACTTAGTGTCTCTGTGTAATGAAGATGTCATGTTAGCTATTTGACACATCCTCACTCTTTAGAGAATGTCACGGTTACTTTTATATTTTGGTGGCTAGTGGCAAGTTATAACTAAATTCACACCAACCTATGTCAGCGGTAGGAATAGGCCAATCATCACAGAGGACATTTTACCGTTGGCCTAACTAAAACTACAAATTATTCGTGCGCTACAGTACAATTCATCGACACAGATAGTAAATCTTGTATGTCGAATTCATAATAACGGCAAATATGATGCCACCCATGTGATCGATGATGAGGTTTGAGAATATATGTTGTTGGAGGCTAGAATGCGCATTGTTACTGTATATGCGAGCGTTCAAATCGAATTAAAAAAAAAAAAAGGGGGGGGGGACAAGAAGAAGTGATCTTCATATTCTGTTATTGGAAGTATTGACAGCAATCAATGGCATTTTATTGGTAAAACTAAGAATTGGCAGTTGAAACTTGATCATGCACATGAGGCTAGCTTATCAGAATTTGGCAAAAAAAAATCTTCTTTGTAAATATTAGAAAGACCCATTGGGATTTTGAAGACAACGAATGTACTCCAATACTAAGAGAACAAAACCCACTCATGATAAGAAAATACTTGAACATTTTCATATAATTTGTGCAATACTTAAATGTTCAATCAAAATTGGAAAGAGAATAATCTGAAGAAAAATTGCGGAGAAGCTATTGCTATAACATAATCATAGTCTCCATAATCATCTGATTGAAGAATTTAAAAAAAAATGCTAAAAGAATTAAAGGTTGTCGTTTCATGTCGTTCAAGTGCATATTTCTATCCACCGCCGGCCTCGGTCCACTCGACTGTGTGCGAACAAGCTTGAAATTCAAATGAATGCTAGCTATGGAAGGGCAAGTTCAAATTGAGTGTCAGTTGGGCTATGCTCTTCAACTTTAATGATGTCAGTAACAGATTCATAGATATAAAAGTTCCAAATCAATTTCACCTATTTCCAATTCAATCAAGACGTCATTGGAAGCATATAATAGAGAACAAATTGACCTCTTAGCTGCAGTTTATATGAAAATCATCATGCAATACTTAGCATGAAAAGCAGAAAACGGATCTTATAATCCATACAAAATATTTGCACACAAGTCAACAGATTATTCAAGAAATAATTATGATATTTGATCAACAAATATTTCATATTCAGATATTAGTTTTCAAGCACCAATTCAAATGGAATACAATTAAATTTAACTGAATGGTGGTTATATATATATATATTCCGTAGGGGAGATGGATGACAGTTAGCTTTATTGATCTTAGTGGAAAAGAATAAATATTTCTCTCTGTTCAAGATAATGCCGGAGGATGCAATTCAGCTTTGAAGGATAAGCGGTTCCAGTAAGTTGGGAAGGATATAATGGCCAAGCAAAGCACGTCGCCACGTTCTTCAGCACAACATAAGGCAACTGTCCGTATAAAAGAAAAGAAAAAAGGATGAACGAGGGGACGCTCTCAGATGCTCGTTTTGCCGTGAAGATTTGGTCTCTCCGAAGCTCTCGTCTTTGCTCGACGATCTTCTGCCCTCGGCTCTCGGCAAATCAAAACAGCAAATTAGCCTTGTCAATTGCACCCCTACTGCCGGTCTTCCACTCACAAGCAACCTGTCCGTCTGCTCTTCTCCAAGAGACAAACATCCGTCCGTCGCCGGCGACCTCGACTCAAGCAAGAACCGTATCTCCGGTTCTCTCCCCTCACCTCCGAGCAGTTCTTTCAAACCCACACTCAAGTTCTGCACTACGCAAGGAGTCCGAGCCAATCAACACTACAGTGTTCGTTTCTTTAAACAGTGAGGAAGGAGGATTTTTAATTATTATTATTAGTGAAATACTATTAATAATAATTAAAGAGAATTATTATACTACATTGAATAATAATAATAATAATAATAATAAATAGAGGGAGAGATCATATGCTCGCAATCTTCAATCATAAGGCTACAACCAGCAAATCAAAGCTTCAGAAGATCAAATCTCTTCACCGTTGATTTGCTCCGATCGAGTCGAGCCACTCCTTATCTCCAGGCGCTGGGGAGGGGACGCCGAAAGGCTGCCGAAATTTCCTCAAAAACCCAAAACTTAGTCAAATTTTTTAAATGCAATTTTTGACAATCTCCGGCAACCAATCATCGTAAAGCAAAGCTTCTGAAGACCAAATCTCATCGCCGTTGATTCGCTCCGGTCGAGTTGAGCCACTCCTTACCTCCTGGCTCCGGGGAGGGGAGGCCGGGAGGCTGCCGAAATTTACACGAATGTTCTGGACTTAGCCAAAATTTTGAAAAATCCAATAGAGCACCAACAACCAATCATCATCAATTGGAGCTTTTGAAGACCCAATCTCCTCGCCGTCGATTTATTTCGGCCGAGTCGAGCCACTCTTTACCTCCCGGCGTCAGGGAGGGGACGCCGATAGGCTGCCGAAATTCCATCAGAAAATTATGGGACTTGCAAATTTAGAGTTCCGATCAACCTATTCTTAATTGATTAAAATTCTCAATCTAAACTCTAACTTAATTGATTTAATTGTTTCTTCAAAAAAAAAATAATTGATTTAATTGATTAATGAATAAATCAACTAATTAATGCATTAGTGCATGCTGCAAGTGTTTCTTCTCTAATGACCACAATAGAGGTTATGGTTGTGGAGCCACCAAAAGATGAGAAAGAAACTGCTTCCTCTATGAGTGGTGGTGACATGAGTGGACTTGATTACTAATATTCACTATCCTTGCAGCAGTTTCACATTAAACTCCACAATATGCATTGGATAAAAGGAACTCTCATTACTTCTCCAAAATTATCCTAATTTTGGCTAGTCTCAAGATATCAATTTTGTTCTGAGGCCAACTATTTATTCATCTGAATTGTTGGGTTCCTTCTGTGGAGACCAAGTATAACTATGAATATCATCTTTAGTTGTGATTATGCTAAAATATTGAATGCACCATTAAAAAAAGTTTTTTTTTTCATTTAAAAAAAGTTTTTTTTTTCATTTTAAAAAAAAGATTTTTTTTTCATTTAAAAAAAAAAGATTTTTTTTTTTCATTAAAAAAAAAAAAAAAAAAAAAAAATGACTCTAATATCATCATTGAGGGAGTAAAGTGTCTAAAGCTATATCCTAGCTAACTTGAATCCTATAGGTTACTTCTAAGAGGAGTAGTAAATCCTATCGGCAAATTCTTTCACTTAATATATATATTTATTAAGTCAAGCAATAAATTCCTAAAACACTATATTGGCTACTTTCAGGGAAAGTCGTAAGTCCAGTCTTTAGGGGTAATAGCTAGGAAACAACCTAACTCTAGACCCCTTAATTGGGCATCTTAGCGTATAGGACTAAGTTGTAAGACCCGTCATTTGGGCTACTTCTAAGTGAAGCAGTAAGACCCGCGCATTAGGGAACTTCTAAATGAACGACCTTAAAACCAAAACTCAAATTCCATTGGACATCTTAGCTTATAGAACTAAGTTGTAAGACCCGGCATTTGGGCTACTTCTAAGCGAAGCAGTAAGACCCGCTTGTTAGGGAACTTCTAAACGAACGACCATAAATCCAAAATTCAAATCCCTACGGGCATTTTAGTCTATCGGACTAAGTTGTAAGACCCGCCATATGGGCTACTTCTAAGCGCAGCAGTAAGACCCGCATGTTAGGAAACTTCTAAGTGAACTAACCTAAACTTAAAACTAAAATTTAACTGGCAACTCCTAATTGGAGCCGTAAGCCCCAAAATTAAACAAATTAATAGACAACTTCTAAGGAAGCCATAAGTCCCTACCCAAATCAAATCACATGGGCAACTCTTAATTGGAGCCGTAAGCCCCAAACTAAATAAATTAGTGGGCAACTTCTAAGGAAGCCTAAATCCCTACCAAATCAAATCATACGGGCAACTCCTAATTAGAGCCGTAAGCCCCAAACTAAATAAATTAATGGACAACTTCTAAGGAAGTCATAAGCCCCAACTCAAATTAAACTAAATTAAAATTCACACATCTCCACTTTAGTCTATTCGGGATCCCTGAGAGGAGCCAACCCATGGCTGCTAATCAGATTCCCTGGACACTACAATCAATGGTTGTTAGTGTTGGTAGATTGAACCCACGGTATGCCCGGGATGACAGAACCATGGGATCTTGATCGGGTGTACCTTCATCCCCACATAACTAAATTTAAATATCTATTGCACATTCTCACACTTCTTGTATAAAGCTAAGTGTATTTCATCCTTAATCGAGAGTGCTCTTCTAATTTGTTATGAGGGTTAATTAACTATGAGGGCTTGCGCTCATAGGAAGTAGAACCCAGATCTAAATAAACCCTGACACTACTCTCAGGGAAAATCTGGTTAAATATTAAACTCAATCTACCTCCAGGAAAATTAAAGAGAACCCTAAGTTCATGAGAGCGAGGTTCGCATCCTCTTATTTAATTTAAAAGATAATTTTTCTAGAGCGAACAGCGAGGCTGAAGAAGTTCTCCTGAGAGAGCCTACCATAACAAGTACAACAACCTTATGTTGTTGGCCCATCAACTCAAGTATAACAGTAAATTATCACATAACGTCGAAGTTTCATTTCTTTGTTAGTGGTCTTTGACAAATAACAACATGTTGTCAAACTATGTCATTATTTCATAAGCCGACTCCAATATCCATTCCTCAACTTGTTATCAGAGCATAATTTTTAACTGCAATGACTGCTGACTTTTGTGTACACCTAAGCTTATGCAAGCGCCCAACTTTTTGAAACAAGATGCTTAGCTATGTGCCGATGTTAGTGAACGATGAGTTGATCGCATATCGCTATATGAGTACAATGAAGATTCTCATTCTTTTAGGCCATACGTGCAAGTGGCTTCACGAGAACAACCGCACCATCTTGAACCTAGGCAAGGAAATGAAGACGATTTGAATGAATACCAAATAATGGATAGTGGCAGTAGTGATTCATCTAGCAATGGACTTGAATTAGACATTCCTAACCCTTCAATTGAAGATAATGATATGGAGATACCCAGGCATGAGTGCATTTGAGAACATGCTAAGGAAAATCACGAAGGCTTGTAAGAAATGTTTGCAAGTAATGAATTCATAGAGAATGTTAATACAACACAAGAATGGGACCAAAATGCAAAAGTATGATGCTCCAGTAGTGGAGAACGCATTAACATTAACTGAATCTACGCATTCCACTAACTTCATGAAGGGTTGATTCTCCATACGAAGGAAGCCTTACAATGTGCAGTAAATGTATGCTCTATTGTCAATAATGTTCAGTATATCAAATGTAGCTCTAATAAGACAACCCACAAAATCATATGTGCTCATCATGACAACCCAAAGAGGTCTTGTGTGTGGCGCCTACATGCAGCACGAAGTAAGAGAGTAGGGGGACGAAGAATATCTAATTATGGCCCACAACACACATGTACACATGCTATAATGATGGACGGTCATCGCAATTGTAAATTCAAATTTGCATGCACATACATTACTCAAATTGTGCGTTAGCAGTTGGACATATAGCCAAGGGAGATAATTGCCCAAATAGAGTCAAAATTTGACATAAAACTTTCGCATGTCAAGGCATGGGATGCACGTCGAAAGGCGATGCAAGCCATATTCTGTACATATGAAAAATCTTATCGCTCCCTTTATCGCTTCATCGAGGCAACCCACATTGATATCCCAAGTAGTGTATACAACATTTAATTGGTTGGTAACTCCCAGTTTAAGAGCATTTTTTGGGCCTTTGGTGCATCTACCGTTGGATGGCAATATTGTTGGCTTGTTCTTAGCTTGGATGGAACTTTCTTGTTGGGGAAGTATCGTGGTACCCTTCTGCCTGCTATTGGGTTGGATGGTAATGGTGGTCTATTCCCACTAGCATTTGCAATTGTTAAAGTGGCGACTAAAGAATCGTGGACTTGGTTCTTATGAATGCTTCACGTTCTTCACCTAATTGTTAGAGAACGGTCATTCCTATGCATAAATATTGGATAAGTATCTCAGGCTTGTTAAGGGATGTCGTGAAGTATTTCCAAGTGCCGCACACAGACACTGTTTTCGTCACCTGCACAAGAACTTCAAGAAGGATGCACGACGTCTAGGAGTTCAAGATAGCAAGGGACTAGCCGCAAAGATGTACAATGCTGGAAACATAGATGATACAAATTACTTTAATTGCATGATGAATGATATAAAGATGACAAAGCAAGAGGCTTTTGATTGGCTAGTTCAGTGTGATGCGGTAAAGTGGACTTTACTTTTTGATGAAGGACATAAATACAGTGTTATGAAAACAAACACCTCAGAATGCTTCAATGGAGTTCTTAAACGTGCTCATAGTCTCCCAATACAAGGCTTAATAACAATCATTTATTATAATCTAGCTGCACTATTCAACAAGCAATCCGCTGAGACGTTGAATTTGATAAATCAAGCTAAGTCAAACTTTGTTCCACGCACTAAGATCCTTAATTGTAAATTGTGCAATCGGTAGAATAATTCACCCAGTGCAGAGAAATTATTATGCGCGAAATCCGGATACGTCCGGACACTAATAAAAATATGACACGTGTACTTGTACACGCTGTGTACAACTGTAAACATTATGTACAAATTACAAAATTATATACATAACACGTACAAACATATACATAATATACACACTATGTACACAATTGTATACAGTGTACAAATTTATACAAACTGTATACAAAGAGATGTGTCACGTTTTTATTGAAATCCGGATGTAACTCTACGTCCAGACTCCGCATGTAATAATTTCTCCCCACGGCAGAGTAAAATCAAGTTATCTCTCAAGTTCAATTAGAGAATTCCTTGAATCTCTTGAAGGTTGACAATATCTCCATCTCATATATTGCAATTATAGTGTTTCCATGCGTTACCAATAAAAGTATTGGCATTAAAACCACGCTAGCATCTAAAAAACTTCACCTGTAGAAGCAACAACAACAACAAAAGTACTAAAAGGCTCAAAAGTGTCTCAAATTTGGTGGAGAACAACATCTTTAAAAGGCAGGCCGCTAATAATGTTAACAGGAAAAACATGTATAATCAAACTCCTAGCTAACTACAAATAGACTAAATTTTTATGGCTTTAGTAGGTAAAGACAAATAACTAAAGAATTGGCAAACAAAATAATAATAATAATAATAACACACACATGAAAATATTTCAAACACTACAAAGAACCTGCGTGGCAATCACATAACTTTCATCATGTATGACACTACTCATTTGGAACCCAACATTTATTTCATACAAATGCTAAATACGAGGAAATAAAATAATAGAATGCATGTTTGTGGAATGTAGTAACCACTAGATGTCTGTTAGGCCGGCCGCCCAAGCCCAACCTGAATCGGTCCCTCCTGGACCGATTCTTTGCTACAGGAGGCGCGCCACTAGGGGGGCGGAAATGGGAAGGGAGGCAGGCCCATATGGGTGGGGCCCAAGCATTAATGCAAGCATTGATGGGAGCTTGGGTTTAGGGGGGAAAATTCAAATGTGAAGGGTTGTTTAGGGATTAGGCATTAAATAATTGTATTGTGCTTTAAGTATTCTCCTTTTGGCTAGGGTTAGGAGGATCTTGAATTTGAACTGAAATTTGGTATCTCTTGTGTTTGCTTTTGGGTCTCTAAGTTTGGGCTAGAGATTTGGAGAGTGGAATCTTCCTCTTGAATTGAAAATTCATTGTATCTAATCATTTCTTTTCAACTTGTAGTGAATATCAAGTGCTGTTTTGTGGATTTTCCTGCAGTTTTTCATCAAAAGCTGCTCAATATTGTTGTTTTTCTCTGATTTCCTACAAGTTTTTTTTATTTTGGTGGCTATTTTTTAACAATGTCCAAGTGCTAAATAATGAAAAAGAGGTAGATTGAGGTCAAAATTTTTCCATTTGCATTTACGTTTCCAAATTTTGTTTTAGATCAAGTTATAATTTAAAAAATTTGATTTTAATTTCAGATTCAAATCCACATGTGAAACTATATGATATACCATGCATGATTATAATTAAATGTTTTGCGTTTATGTTAAAACTTCATTAGAAAGAGCAATGCCATCCTCATGATATTCTTTAAAATTTCATCGTCATGATTTAAAAAATCATTAAAATCTGGCATAGTTTTGAGAGGGTGTAAGCGTGGACTAAACTGTGGGATAGACAATGGTTTATTTGAAAGACCTAGATGAATTTTCTTCATGTTGACAGGCTGATTGCATTGCTTCTAAAGGAAAGATGTAGTCACCTTTGCACTTCCAAAGCATTATGATGAGCTTCATGTATAATCCTTGGTTTAAAGAGCTATACAGTCTTACTTTTAAGATGAGGAACACTCATAAACCAATATGTTATTAGCCATGTTTCTTCATACATATCAGGCTCAAGAATTAAGTTTTTCAAACTAATAATATCATTACCAGTTTGATTTTACTACACAAGATTTAACACCTAAACTATTCAAAACATAAATTTGGTTGGCAAGTACTTTTCTCTTTGTTTAACTTTCACGACAGCCCAATTTCTAATGAGATGATCAACAATATTGTCTATGTGACACTTGAATCCAAACCAAAACCTCTTAACGTCACCTATTAATTTAAGTTGACATATACGATACATTTAATCACTCATGGAATATCAATTAAAATAGTCATAATTATCATATACTGAATTAAAAGAGAAAAAAGATACGGGTCATAACTACCACCAAAGATAGGGTCATCGACCTAAACATTTTATGTTGTTTAAAACTCATCATGACGTCAATCAAAATGAATCCCACAAACTCTTTCATGAGGCTTATTAAAATGTCAACAGTAATGATCATCACTATAATATAATTCTTCAGAAATATCTCGAATTATTATGATCAACATGATCTCTTGATCATGAAGATTCAAATTATTATATGATCCATAGTCTTTATAGTTTCTAATTTGCTCAAAGCCACGAATGATGGTCATCTGGACACATTTGATGGCTAGAGGAGGCCAAAGAGGTGTAATATGATTCTTACAAAAATATGCCTTAGAGGAGTATAATTGGGCAAGCCTTATATTACATTAACTAGATTAGGTGTCTAAAGAAGGTAAAGGCTCTTATAAGGTATATTTCATATGAGGTCATTAGGAAAGTAAGAAACATTATGAGAGGTTTCTTCACTATTTCTTATGCATAGATTTTCCTTAAGGATACCCCCTTCTAATATTCAATGAAGGCTGAGACCCAAAAAGTGATTGGATTCTTAGAGAGACCGCCTAATATGGCTAAACCAAATTGCTTTTAGCTCACACAACTAACTTTAGCATCATAGGCATCTCTAGAGAGTGAATACCCTAATGCTAGGCTGACCTATCTTTTGGTTGATTATGGCTGGGGTGTGATTTCAAGCAAAATGCATGTGTACAACAACATACAAAATATGACGAGTATCTAGCACAAAACGAAATTTTTTTAAAAAAAAATGACATAACAAAATTTCTCCATAAAAAATAACAAGTTATTTGGATTTTATATTAAGGGAATTCATTCATAAGATTGAACCACAAAGAAGAATTCACAACCATAAGAACCTACAGTTATAAAGATTATTTAAGAAGAAAACAATATGAAGTTGATGTTGTTGTTGTTGTTGTTGTAAGAAGAAAACAATAATCAGGATTAAGATTACTAAAGAACTTTTTTTGCGCATAAAAATAGGGTTTTCTTTTGCAGCAATGGAGAGGTTTCATTTATTCCATAGACAAGTAATAATCATCAAACTAAGAAAGTTGAGAAGCCCACCTTTAAATCTTCTTAAACTGAAAGAAATGATGAGGAGCTTCCGTTCATACATACTGAATGACATTTAGCTTGCATTCTTGGACTTAAATGTTCCAAATTTCTCAATTTTTTACTCCAAATGAAGAAGCCAATAAATTCTAGATGTACTTCAAAAAAAAACTGCACAAGAAGAGAGTTCCAGCTAGGTTTTAGGCCTACTGCTAAAAAGGCAAAGGAACAAAGAGCTATTTATATATTGATGCATGCAAAAGATACTAAAGCAATTATTTATAAGGGCTTTGCACAAGCTCAACCACAAAAAAATGGCATTCTAACCTCTGATTCATATATAATGGATGCATTCACTCCCTCTTTATTTATTAGTCAAGGATGGAGTTCAATTGTAATGGAAAAAATAAAACTTTGCTGAAAAGTTGACCATTGGTTAGATATGTCACCTTGTCATCCTTTTAAGTGCTTCTATGCTTTCTCAAAGCACTTCATCGCGCGAATAGGAATAAAGATGATAATCTAGGACTTCAACAGCTGGTGCTCAATAGATGCCCATAGATTCAATTACATACTCTTCAATCCAGAAGTGATGGTACCGCAGATCCATATGACAACTTCAACCAAAAGATTTCAATACCAGAAATATTACCAGTAATCTCCACACGAGCAAGAACCACATTGAAAATGATGAAACCTATTTGTATCTTTAAGGATGATCTCTCGTGCTGTAATTCTTGAAACGAGCTTTGCCGCAAGATGGCAATCCCCGCACATCCGAAGGTTCATTGTGATCCTGATTGGTGTACCAGGAGAACAATTGATAAGAGCAAAAACAATAGCAAGCTTCTCACTGTGCACCAAAAGGTGGCCCTCCTTGTCCTCTTCTTCCACATCATGGAGAGCAGTTTCAGTCTCAGCACTGTACCCAGCCTCCTTCAACCTTCTCATCAATACATCTAGCTCTGCATATATCTCTTTTGACTGGCTGTGGGACGTATCTCCTATATAAAAGGTGTGAATCTTATTCCCAAGTTCCACATTGCTTCGTCCTGGTAACTTTTTTATCCCCTTGCATACCATAACACCTCTCACCAAAGCAACATCCTTCCATCTTCCAGCTCTAGCATAAATGTTAGATAGTAACACATAGTAACCAGCTTGCTTTGGAACCAATCTGAACAAATGGTCAGCAGCAACCAAACCAATAGACATGTTAGAGTGAACTCGGCAAGCAGCCAAAAGAGCTCCCCATACCCTCTCATTAGGATCCATTGGCATCTTTCTAACAAGATCGTAAGCTTCATCCACTTGACCTGCACGCCCGAGAAGGTCAACCATGCAGGCATAATGCTCCATTCTTGGTACCAAGTTATAAAGGCTGGTCATGCAGTTAAAGTAGTATTTTCCTGCATCGAGAAGCCCTGAGTAGCTGCAGGCTGAAAGAACTGAAACATAAGCTATGTGATCAGGCACATAGCCCAACTCCTGCATTTGTTCAAATAGAACAATTGCTTCTCGGCCATGCCCGTGCATACCATAGGCTGAGATGATCGTTGTCCAGGACGCAACGTCTTTTCTTCTCATAGTACTAAAAACTTCTTGTGCCTCTTGCAGGCACCCACAAGTAGCATACATGTCCATTAGAGCATTCTCCAAAGTCAAATTTGGGCACATATTCTTTTTATTGATGAATTCATGAAGTTGCTTGCCTAGTGTCAGGTCCATCAGATCACGGCAAGCCGTAAGAACACTTGCAATTGTGGCCTCATCTGGTTCAGTTCCTACTTTCTTCATTTCCCCAAAAAGCTCCATGGCTTCAGCAGCCATAGAATTCTTAACATAAATTGCAATCATGGCATTCCAAGATATCAAATTTCTTCCTTTAATTTCCTCGAACATGCTCTTTACAAACTCAATGTCGTCAGGTTTTGAGTTCGACATGGCAAGTGAAATGCTTGCCATGGTACCGGCATCAACACTCGACCTCTTAAGTAGAACCATCTCCCTGCAGATCTGCAGTGCACGCTCATTCAGACCTCTCTGCGCGTGTCCAGAAATGATTGCATTCCAAGACACCACATCCCGCTTAGGCATTCCATCAAACACCTGTTGTGCATCAGCACAGCATCCGCACATCGCGTACAACGAAATGAGAGCGTTCCCAACAAACAAATTTGAGTCGAGACCAAGCTTTGTAGCAGCTCCATGAATCTGGACGCCACCACAGAGCTTTTCGGAGCAGGAGCACGCCTTCAGCACGCATGGATAGGTATAGTTGTCGGGTTTCACGCCATGGAATCGCTCCATCTCAGAGAAAAGCAGCAGAGCGTCCCCATAAAGCCCATGGCCAACGTAGCTACGTATCATAACGTTGAAGAATACCACGTTTCTCTCGGGACTTTCGTCGAACACGTGTCGAGCGCTGGTAGTGTCGCCGCAAGTCGCGTAAGCTCGCATTAACTTGACCGCGACGGAGGGATTGGAAGTGAGGTGGCGGCGGCCAACGACTTCGGCATGGAGGTTCTGGAGTGCGAAAAGGTTTCGGCATTCGTCCACAGATCGGAGCAAGGCTTCGTCCGAGATTTGTCGAGCATTGGTGATGCACCGAAAAAACACGTTGATGGAGAAGATCCAATTTGGGAATTTCATCAACTTCCCTGCAGTGATAGGTTTTTTGTCAGTTTAGAATGGAACATCTTTTTTTCTTTTTTTTAAATGACCATTCTTGCAATAAAATATGACATCTAAAACGTAAAATTAAAAAATTATTCTTTATGCCAGGAGAATATTTGTTTCAATATATTCACAATAAATTTATTTAGAAAAATATATTTAAAAGTTCATTTGAGAATCACTCTTATAATAGCTGATACATCGTCTGATACATCGTCAAAAAATTATCTTGATCGGACTCGAATCTCGATGCAAAATCAATTCGAAAATTTCAAAAATTAATTCCGGGAGCCTCCCAAGGAAGGGTCTCATTTGTAATCGACTACAAATACTAGTGGATTCATTCAAACTGGGCCTGGCCCCGTGGTTTTTCCCCCTTTCAGGGGTTTTCCACGTAAAAAAACTCTGGTGTCTCTTATGAATGCTACACCATCTCACTTATCTGCTTGTGTGCTGGATCTTCGTACAATGTTAAGACGTTAAACTAAATATTTCTCTACCGCCGCGAATATTCTAGCACATAACAAGAGCAATATAAGATTCATTCCTTAGTGATAATATAAATGTTAGAAAAAGATAATTACCCAAATAGTTCTCTTTCAAGCACAATTGTCAATTTTCAAATAATCTCTCTTTGACATCGAGTGATTCCTTAATCTTAAAACTTTTCTATGAAATCCTTCAAGTGAAAAAATGGTTATTGTTCATTATATTTTTGTTTTGTAAATTTGAATTCGGTCGTCGCCCCTTCTATCACCCCTTCTATCACCAGTAACTTATTATATAATAGAAAAAAAATGAATGGCGAATCTTGTGTTTACAAACAAATAAAATTTGAGCCTCATATTACCTCGTCAAACTCTAAGAAGGCAACGATCAATTCCTTGTAACTTTTATTTTAAAAGGTTAATGAGGAGCTTGTTGGTTGATTCTACTTTGTTGTTTATTTAAGGGTGATGTATAAACATGAATTTGAGCTTGAACTCATTGTTGGTGCAGAACTTGGCAAGCTTCATACTCAATAATTGTGGTTAGTTATTTGTATGTCTCATACTTAAATAACTAACATCATTATCAATATCTTTATCCCATAATCATCCACTATGCATATTAGATTTTAGAGGTGGCCCCTATAAGTTCAAGTAGTGACTTCCACCACATAACACTTTATCCCTTACAAGATTCAAAAGGTGGCTCCCATAATGTAGCACATTGTCTTGTATGACATTTAGCTCTCATCTTTCGACTGATGCATTGATCTGACACAATTTATAATAGTTCAAACTCTTAATTATTGAGATATTGTCAATTTTGATCTAAGGACCTCATGATTTTGTCATATAGGTGTAACTTTCAATGAGGTCACACATCCCAATATTTTTCCATGATGAGCACACTTAACTGTGAAATTTCTTAAATGAAATTTCAACCATTACACCAAAAGGCACTTTAATGTTTAAGAGCATGCTTCTTTTACTTATGGGCTATTTGATTGTCTAAAAAAAGAATTTAGTATAAAAGAAATACAGTGTAAAAGAAATACTTTGGAGTTATTTGGATAAATATAAAATATATGCATGAATTTACTTTTCCTTGCTTGGTTTGAAGTAAAAGTGAATACAATATGAAATGCAAGAAATTTGTAGCTAGGGTGACCGGTTGTGGTCGGAGGCAATGGTTGGTGGTGGTGGTCGGCGATGGTGCTTGGCGGCAATGGTGGCCAGTGGTGGTGATACCCAATGTGTGCGGTGGTGGGCGTTTGTAGAGGTGGTCGGCAGTGGTGTATTTGGAAATCATCCAATATATGAGAAATTATATATGCACTAAAAACACACTACCTCAAGTATTTGGAATACACTCATTTTACATTCCCATTTTACTTTACTTCAAAACAAACATAAAGTTTTCTAAAACCACTGCATTTGTATTACTTTACACCTAAATGCAGAGCAGTCAAATAACCTCTTAAGATGTTTCACAATCTCTCCTACATTGAAAAATGTCGCTCTCAACATTTTCACTGACAAAGGATAGGTATAGTTGTCGGGTTTCACGCCATGGAATCGCTCCATCTCAGAGAAAAGCAGCAGAGCGTCCCCATAAAGCCCATGGCCAACGTAGCTACGTATCATAACGTTGAAGAATACCACGTTTCTCTCGGGACTTTCGTCGAACACGTGTCGAGCGCTGGTAGTGTCGCCGCAAGTCGCGTAAGCTCGCATTAACTTGACCGCGACGGAGGGATTGGAAGTGAGGTGGCGGCGGCCAACGACTTCGGCATGGAGGTTCTGGAGTGCGAAAAGGTTTCGGCAATCGTCCACAGATCGGAGTAAGGCTTCGTCTGAGATTTGTCGAGCATTGGTGATGCACCGAAAAAACACGTTGATGGAAAAGATCCAATTTGGGAATTTCATCAACTTCCCTGTTGTGATTCAAAGATCCAATTTGGGAATTTTTTTTCTTTTTTTTAATGACCATTCTTCCAATAAAATATGACATCTAAAACGTAAAATAAAAAAATTCTACTTTATGCCAGGAGAATATTTGTTTCAATATATTCACAATAAATTTATTTAGAAAAATATATTTAAAAGTTCATTTGAGAATCACTCTTATAATAGCAATATAAGATACATTCCTTAGTGATAATGTAAATGTTAGAAAAAGATAATTGCCCAAATAATTCTCTTTGAATCACAATTGTCATTTTTCAAATAATCTCTCTTTGAACTCGAGTGATTCCTTAATTGTAAAACTTTTTTATGAACCCCTTCAAGTAAAAAAATGATTATTGTTCATTATATTTTTGTTAAGTAAATTTGAATGCGGTCATCACCCTTTCTATCATCTGTAACTTATTATATGGTAGAAAAAAACGAATGGCGAATCTTATGTTTACAAACAAATAAAATTTGAGCCTCATATTACCTTGTCAAACTCTGAGAAGACAACGATCAATTTCTTGTAACTTTTATTTTAAAAGGTTAATGAGGAGCTTGTTGGTTGATTCTTCTTCGTTGTTTATTTAAGGGTGATGTATCAACAGGAATTTGAGCTTGACCTCATTGTTGGTGCATAACTTGGCAAGCTTCATACTCAATAATTGTGGTCAATTATCTATATGTCTCATACTTAAGTAACTAACATTATTGTCAATGTCTTTATCCCAGAATCATCCACTATGCAGATAAGATTCTAAATGTGGCCCCTATAAGTTCAAGCAGTGACTTCCAACATATAACATTTTATCCCATACAAGATTCAAAATGTGGCTCCCATAATGTAGCACATTGTCTTGTATGACATTTAGCTCTCATCTTTCGACTGATGCATTGATCTGACACAATTTATAATAGTTCAAATTCTTAGCTATTGAGATATTGTCAATTTTGACCTAAGGACCTCATGATTTTGTCCTATATGTGTAACTTTCAATGAGGTCACACGTCCCAATATTTTTCCATGATTAGCACACTTAACTGTGAAATTTCTTAAATGAAATTTCAACCATTACACTAAAAGGCACTTTAATGTTTAAGAGCATGCTTCTTTTACTTATGGGCTATTTGATTGTCTAAAAAAAGAATTTAGTATAAAAGAAATATAGTGTAAAAGAATTGTTGTGCAAAAGAAATACTTTGGAGTTGTTTGGATAAATGTAAAATATATGCATGAATTTACTTTTCTTTGCTTGGTTTGAAGTAAAAGTGAATACAATGTAAAATGCAAGAAGTTTGTAGCTAGGGTGGCCGGTTGCGGTCGGAGGCAATGGTTGGTGGTGGTCGGTGATGGTGCTTAGCGGCAATGGTGGCCCGTGGTGGTGATATCCAATGTGTGTGGTGGCGGGCGGTTGTAGAGGTGGTATCGGCGGTGGAAATAGCTGTGCATTTGTAGTGTATTTGGAAATCACCCAAATATGAGAAATTATATGTACACTAAAAATACACTATCTCGGGTATTTGGAATACACTCATTTTACATTCCCATTTTACTTTACTTCAAAACAAACATAAAAATTTCTAAAACCATTGTATTTGTATTACTTTACACCTAAATGCAGGCAGTCAAATAACCTCTTAAGAGGTTTCACAATCTCTCCTACATTGAAAAATGTCGCTCTCAACATTTTCATAGACAAAATAGGTCAATAAGAATAAATTTAATTTGTAAATCCGTCAAAGTAACTCAGTACAAAGTTGGAGTGAGGTTGACAGAGATCCTTATGTATTCTTTTTTTTTTTAAATAAAGTTTCCCTTATTCTTTTGTATTCAAGAGTTTGTGATAAAGCAAAAATTATACTGATCTTCTGGCTATTTTATATTGATTTTTGGGATAATAAAAATAATGTAATATTTTGAAGTATATAATTATTAGTTGATTTCAATGGATATAGATTTATTTTTGTGATAAATTATAGAAATTCCGATATATTATTTATTAAAATGATAAATATACAATTCTTCTAAATTTGATTTTGGGGCATTATAACTGCGCTCCTAGAGAATCTTTTAGATTCTCCCATAATATCCTCACATGAGATTTGACGTTGCGATAAAGTCACCCCAACATTGTAGTGCTCACTCAAATCCTTTTTTCCACCAAAACCCAAAAGATCAATACCGGGAACTCCCCAACCTCGGCACCACAACATTCGCAGAGCATTTGTCTAAACATGGAATTTGGGTTATTACAACTTTGGCAACTTCAATTGTTAAATGAGTTGAAAATTAGAGACAAATGATGGGTCTGATGAGTAGGTTTAACGAGAGGACCTCATAAGTCCTTGCTAAGCTCTAAGGACAAGTTCTTGGGTATTTACACCTCATTTGCTTTATGTGCTATATTTCTTGTAGCGCTTGGTTTTTTATCATTGGTACCAGTTTACGCTCATTATACTTTTTTTAAGATGTTGCATTGAAATTTATTTGTGGATGATGCATGCATCTTACTTCCAAGACATACAAGATTTGTTTGAGAATAATAGGTAAAAGAGAAAAAGAAATAAATTGTCAGAGTTAGAAAAATAGATTTCAATGATTGTATCATTGAATCCAAGTGCTCCCAAACAACTCTCTCTTTTAAAATTACCCTATGACCATTAATTTATAGAGTTATGGAGCTACATGAGAAGCTATATAAAAGTCATATTCACTTACACAGGATGTGTAGCTCAAATTATATATCACTGGGAAAATATAGAAACATACATGCGTAATTGACATGTGGACTGTTAATGGTCAAGTGGGCCCGCCAAGTTATGAGTGTCAAGTGTAGTATGTACAGCTATGAGTGATGAGGGTAGTCCCATTGAGTGGCAAGTGGTGAGTGTAATCGTGCTTAATGAGTGCACATTGGCCTTCGACAGGTGCATTTTTAATCTTTGTTGTATCAAGGCAAATCAAGCTTGAGGTTGCTCGCATATTAAAATATATAAAAAAAGAATGTATCATAAATCTTAATAATTTGTATTGAAGACAAGTGCTCTATATTTATTTTACAAACAAATATATAAGTCTAAAATATTTATAAAACACATTATTTATTTTGCTTTTAAAATATGGCTTAATTCAAAGTAGAGCGCTAAAAAATCCCATATTTGCATCTTAAATGCGGACATTTTCAAAATTTCAAACCAAAAAGCATAAAATATAAATCTTGATATTTTTTTTACATATTAAAGAATTCTAACGTGAAATCAGCGGGAGTAATTTTTTCTCAACGAGACGCATGAACGATCCCAAATCTTGATATGATTCGGTTCGTAAATTAATTCAAAGTATTTTTTTTTTCTTCTCAAAAAAAAAAATTAATAATTTGTATTGAAGACAAGTGCTCTATATTTATTTTACAAACAAATATATAAGTCTAAAATATTTATAAAACACATTATCTATTTTGCTTTTAAAATATGGCTTAATTCAAAGTAGAGCGCTCAAAAATCCCATATTTGCATTTTAAATGTGGACATTTTCAAAATTTCAAACCAAAAAGCATAAAATATAAATTTTGATATTTTTTTTTTTTACATATTAAAGAATTCTAACGTGAAATCAGCGGGAGTAATTTTTTCTCTAAGCCAACGAGACGCATGAACGATCCCAAATCTTGATATGATTCGGTTCGTAAATTACCTCGTCGGAGAATTTATTCTTATTTATTACTTTAATATTTACTTGTACATATTTATAAAACCAAACTCACCGCCTCCATCGCCACCTTTCCCGATCCGCACGCTTAACTCCGTCTACATCCCTGGTTCTATTTCCTTCCTCTCCAACTCCTTTAATCCCTCCGATAACCGATCCTCTTTTCGTCTCCCCAAGTCGCTATTTTCTTCTTTAGTCGAGAAAGCCTATCAGGGTCTTCTACCCACTCAGTCAATCTCGCCTATTTCATCAAGTCTCCTACCAGAAAGCTTCAAAATTTCCGTGGATCGGACATGCCCCAGGCGGACGTTGCCTGAACGCCGCCGTCTGAGGCGAGGGCGGCTCCTTCGTGTATGGAAACGCGGAGCCGGAAGCGGGCGGAGGCCTCCTCTTTTAATCCCCCTGCAACCCGTGCCTCGAAGCGCCCCCGTTCTTCCTCGGCCGCCTCTTCTAATAACCCAGTTGCATCCCGTACCCGCCAAGCCGCCACCAGTGCTGCCGCTTCTGCTATGGATTCTGATTATGCCTCCGGTGGTAGTCGCCGGGAGCGCCGCAGCTTCGGCAGGAACAGTGGGAGGGACAGGGATCCACCTTCGGACAAGGGTAAGGAGAGGGAGCCACCCGAGGGTTCTTCTCGTCTTCGCGAAAGGGAGAGGGAGAGAGAGATAGATAGAGAAGCTGAGAGAATCCTAGGGATCAGCTTCGACAGTGGCGGTGCAGATGATGACAACGATAGCGAAGGTGGCGTGGGTATCCTCCACCATAACTTCAGCTCTGCGAGCAGTGCTCTTCAAGGACTTCTGCGGAAACTAGGTGCGGGATTGGATGATCTTTTGCCCTCATCCGCCTTGTCAGGTTCCTCCTCACACCAGAGCAGCAGACTCAAGAAAATACTGTCTGGCTTAAGAGCTGACGGGGAGGAGGGTCGGCAGGTGGAGGCACTAACGCAGCTTTGCGAATTGTTGTCGATTGGGACTGAGGATTCTCTGGGTTCGTTTTCGGTAGACTCTTTCGTGCCCGTCTTGGTTGGGCTTCTCAACCATGAGAGCAATCCCGATGTGATGCTGCTCGCTGCAAGGGCACTTACTCATCTGTGTGATGTTTTGCCTTCTTCCTGTGCTGCCGTTGTGCATTACGGTGCCGTTCCATGCTTCTGCGCTCGACTTCTGACGATCGAATACATGGACTTGGCGGAGCAGGTATCCTTTTTGTTTTTCTGGTGCTCTCTCTTGCTACCTGGTTTACATCTGAATTTATTTCCTTACGCTTCTCCTTTGCTTTTATATTAGGTTTTAGCTTTGACTAATAGAACGCTAATGCATTTTGTTTGATTAGCGTTTTGTTTGATTGTGATTGTGGTGTTCTATATCATCTTTAAAATTTCCCATTTTTTAATGAATAATGAGTTTTTTTACTTATAGAACGCGTTGATAACTAATTGCCTTACCTTGTAACAATTAAAGAGCAGTAATCCTATATATATGTGTGCATTTGTTTCGCTCTCTTTATCCAAACTGTAATGCCTTAGTGGTAATGTGTTGTTCATTGTAATAACTTACAAATGAGTTTAATTTGTTCATCTTTAGTCTCTTCAAGCTCTCAAGAAGATTTCACAAGAGCACCCAACTGCTTGTCTGAGGGCCGGGGCACTTATGGCAGTTCTTTCTTATCTTGACTTCTTCTCTACCGGAGTTCAGGTAAAAAGGATATGCACTTTCTAGTTTGTCTATCTAATAGTTAGAATCTTGCTTTCTAAACTCAATTTCTTAATAACTCATTTGTTTTTAACAATTACTTGTTCTTCTTAATGATGCTCATTAGAGGGTGGCATTATGTACTGCTGCCAACATGTGCAAGAAGCTTCCGTCGGATGCATCTGACTTTGTAATGGAAGCAATTCCATTGCTAACAAACCTTCTTCATTATCATGATGCGAAGGTATTGAATATCCTGAATCCTAAATGGAAGAAGTTATTTACATTAGCTGCTTTTTGTTGATCTCTCACTCTGCCCAACATTTTTAATTCTAAGTACTGCTAAATTTATTCCAGGTGCTTGAGTATGCCTCTGTTTGCCTAACAAGAATAGCTGAGGCATTTGCATCATCTCCTGATAAATTAGATGAGCTATGCCATCTTGGGTTGGTTGCTCAAGCTGCTGGGCTTATATCTTTGAGTAACTCAGGAGGACAGGCTTCTCTTAGCTCGTCAACATACACGGTATCTTTATGTGAAGGCTTTGTTGTGCTTTATTTCGTGCTTCTCTTTCCTTACGGATTTTGCCATTTTAATTATCAAGGGATTGATACGCCTCCTATCAACCTGTGTCAGTGGATCACCATTAGCAGCTAGAACTCTTCTCCTCCTTGGTATCAGTGGAACCCTTAAAGATATTTTGTCAGGTTCTGGTCTTGTTGCTAATGTTTCAGTTCATCCTGCTTTAGCGAGACCACCTGAACAGGTATTTGATTGGTACTTCCCCCCCTCCCCCCTCTTTACCGTTTGGCTTTGTAATGGAGTTTTTAGCATGGTTCTTTAGATACAATTTGCCATCTTTATACTAGCATCTTTTATAATAAAGCACTATAATGGATATTACCCCTGGTTATTTGATTCCCTAGTACTTGGATGGGTGTTTGGTTGTTGATTGTGCAGTTTTTCTGATGTAAAGCTGTTTGAGTTTAATTGCTTCTTGCTTTTCGAAGTTTTTCAAAAGTTTTCTTGTTTTTATTTTTAGAGTCAATGAAGACGCCTTCAACAACAGATCGAAGAGCTTAGGCTTATTCTATATGTTACAAGGTTTTGTTATATTGAATAAGTATTTATACTTATAGTTGTTGTCTTTACTTGTCAATAGTGCATGTGATCTTGGAATACTAAGTCAGGATCAGGCAGTTAGGTGGAGTTTTTAAATTACATCTACTAACTCTAAACATTGTTTAGATATCATTATTCAATACAACAAAAGAGATCAAATACAAAAATAAAAATAAAAAATGCTGTGACCATATAGAGTTTATTCTAAATTCAAAGTTTAACGCTTCTAATACAATTCCCGTTCTCTTGTAGTGTTACATTTATGATATATAGATTCTCTTATTCCACTTATTTTGTTCTCAAGATTTTGTCATGAAAATATTAATTAAAACAATGATGAGTTATCAGTGTAACTAAATGGATACATCATATCTCTAAAGCTACAATAATTTAAAAGAATTTCAAAGACAACTCATACTCTTGCTTAAGTAAATAAATCAACATAAAATCCTTTGACAATTAATTTTAGTCAGATATGACCATATAATAGATTGGGTAACATTCTTTTGTACAGTAATAACATGCATAAGAAAGAACAATATCATATCTTCTCATATCTATCTCATTTTATATATAATACATATATCATAGGAGCGTCGTCTAACTTGTACCATTTAAGATACTTTGATATCAATATCCTTTTTCATTTTAAATGCAAGTATCTTACTGTCACCACCTAGTTCCACTCCATCAGTCAGTATGTACATACAAACATTTATATATGATCATTCTAACTATATTCTACATATCATTACATATATTTTTTATAATAGACATGTTTGACATAAAATACAAGAGTGAAGCATAATAGAAAATTTATATCATTCATTTCAATATGACTAATTTTTGGTATAATAGAGATAAATCATTATAAATTTTCAATGATAATTATTTGAATGAGCATTAATAACAATTGATGAATTTGATTTAGAAGAAACAACATCATCACTATAATTTGGAAATAAAAGTTTTCACGTTCACCTTAGAAGTTCTGCTTCGTCAATTAGTCCGTGTATTTTAGCTTAGTTCCTATAATATAAGATTTTCACAGTTATTTTTATAAAATTAAATTATAGATTTATCATATTTCTCTTCTATTATCATTTAGAAACATTTCATTTTGTTTAAGTATTAAATTATATTTAATAAATCTAATTTATTTCTTCAAACAACCTCAGAATTATATTTTTGACAATACATACTTATAATTTTTTATAATCATATAATCGATTTATTTTAACAATATTCATATAAATTTTGCTCTCATTTTTTAATTATACTTTTTTTTTGCACTTATAAAATCATCTTTAATACACACACATGCACGCACAATAAAAAAAGAAGCCTCATAGTTACAAACAAATTTTCTATTTGAACATATACATATCATTCCTATTTAAACAAAATAATATTTTAAAATTTCAAATTTCCTTAGGTAAAAATTATGCAAAAATTTTATTCATCTTCACATACAAAATCCTAACAATGCTTCTTGAAAACTTTTTATAGGGTTTCTTCATAAAATATCAAAATCAAAATTTCGTTCTAAAATTCAAAAGAAAAGAAAACTCTTACATTGCTTGTCTTTGAATTGATACAGTCGAGATAAGTCATTGTTTGCTCGGTTTGGCAATTAATCTCTTCTTTGCACTCCCTTTATTTGTATCTTGTTCTTTCACACTCTCCCTCTTGTTCTCTCTCAATCTCAATCTCTTCTTCTTTGTCCCTCACTATCTTGCTCTTTCTTCCTCTCTGCCCCTCACTCTCTCGCTTCTCTGTTTAATTGTGAAATTGCTAGAAGGTTGGTTTGTCAGAACCAGCTAGCACAACTTTATCTTCTTTTTTAAATTTTTAACTAGATTCTTACATTATTTCACATTGTGGTTTGGGCTTGGCTACAAAGGCTACATTGTATAGAGAGAATGGTGCCCCATTAATTATTGTGTTGTTATATCAAGGAAAGCTATAGAGAGGTTAGTCATTTTAATATTTCATGAGTTGTCCAATCATTCAACCTTTCCCTCTGATTTTTCCTAAATTGATAGTTGTTGCTGTTAGAGGCCACTTGAATTGTTTTCAAGCGAGTTGAGGAAAACTCGAAATCGACAAAAAAATGAATGAGTTTGGAGCGGAGCTCAAAATCATTTGAGTGATTTTTTAGGGAGTTTCAAGTTTTTATTACTAGCCCTACCATTACCTATTCCATAACACCATGAATCCTCATATAATCCAACATTCTAAAATTTATATTTCCATTTAAGTCAACCCTAATAAATATCTTTTCTTCGGGGTATGCATTATACTAAATTACTAATTCTTTAATCACTTTGTAAAATTGATTTTTTATGACTATCTTCTAATCCAACTTAAGGGTCATATCCTTATTAATAATTAAATTCATAGAAATCACTCTATCACTAACCCTATTCATCTCAAATGAAATATTTTTTAAGTCTTTATCTACTGTCATCCCAACCTGATTTTTATTATTAACAATTCCAAGTTCCAACATACAATAACTTATAATCTTTCTAAATGTTTTTGTTAGATGTTTTTCCATTTAGCTTCTTGCAAACACGCAATATTTATTCTTCTTGTAATCCTTTTGCCCACCATTTCTTGTCTTTCGATTCAAAGACCCTAAATTCCATGGAGCAAATTTAATTTTAGTTTTAGACCTGAACAAACTTGTTCATTTTTCACCGTAGTTGGTTTAATCTTGGCATGTCACTTTGAGAGCGATGTCCTTGCCAACTCTTTGCTACTCACCACATTTGGGTTAGTAAAATTTCAAAATTGAATTCATTTCATGAATTTTAGCATATAAGTTATATGATAAGATGTCAAACCAACATCAACACTCAACCTTTCTCATTCATACTTGGGACCAATAATTATAGTTTTATCTTATTAAAATCTGTTCGCTAAAAAATAATATTATAGCATAATTGTAAATATAAATATATGCTAGGCGCAAGCTTCATATTTGGATTTTGTTTTTATGAAGCATGAGAACTTAGCATACATTGACTTGTGCATTCAAAATTTGTATGACAAGCTTGAGCTAGAAGTTGAGTTTAACTCGAACTTCGTCATACATTGTGCATTTGAGCTTAACTGGTCTCCCAAATTACTATCTCAAAGGGATGCTTAGTGCCATTTTTTTTTCATCTTTCACATCTCAGCCCTTTGTTGTAATTTTTGTTATTTGTTTATTTGTGTCATGCATCTTAGATTTACGAGATAGTTAATCTTGCGGATGAGCTTCTTCCGCCCCTGCCACAAGGAACTGTTTCCCTCCCGATTTATTCAAATGTTTTTGCAAAAGGGTCTGCTGGAAAGAAAATCTCTGGCAGCTCTTCAGGGAAGCAGGAGACTAATGGAACAAGTAATGAAATATCTTCTCATGAAAAATTATTGCGAGATCAATCTGAACTGTTGCAGCAGTTTGGAATGGACCTGCTTCCTGTTTTGACCCAGGTTTGTGCTTTGATAGGCATGATTTTTTTCTACATCTTTATCTATTTTTTGGTCAGTGAGGTTGATTTTGTCTATCCTTAAGCTTTGTTCGGTCCTTCTGTGTTGTCTTTGTTGACTAGATATATGGATCCAGTGTAAATGGTCCAATTCGGCATAGATGTCTTTCAGTCATTGGGAAACTTATGTACTTCAGCTCTGCTGAGATGATTCCTTCTTTACTTAGTGCGACAAACATATCAAGGTATTTTGACTATTTTTGAATATTTTTTTACTTTTATATAACTTTCTTCCTATCCATAAACTATCTGTTCATCTTGCAGCTTCTTAGCAGGAGTTTTAGCTTGGAAAGATCCACAAGTGCTGATCCCTGCTCTTCAGATTGCAGAGATTCTTATGGACAAACTTCCTGATATTTTTGCTGAAAAATTTGTGAGGGAAGGGGTTGTCCATGCTATTGATGCTCTCATAGTTTCAGATTCTTCAACTAGTGTTCCTTCTCAATCATCGCTTCTTGAGAAGAAGGATGCGGAGTCCATCTCATCTCGCTCTCGGCGACACCGGCGCCGTAATGGTGGACTTAATACAGATGGTGGTTTGTTTGATGAGGCAAAAGTTCTGGCAGATGGAGCTACTGGTTCACCACCATCATCACAGGCTCCTGCTGCGAATAATAGCATTCGGGCAACTGTGAGTAACCTTGCCAAAGCTTTCAAAGACAAACACTTTCCTGCTGTTCCTGGGTCTACTGAAGTTGGTGTCACCGAGGATCTTCTTCTTTTGAGAAGTCTTTGTTCAAAATTGAATGCAAGTGCTGTTGATGTGAAAACTAGAGCAAAGGGAAAATCGAAGGCCTGTGGAGCTAGTTTGTTTGATAGCTCAACAAATATGGAGGGGGATCTGGACGGTGTTATTTCTGAGATGCTAACTGAGCTTTGTAAAGGAAATGGTGTATCAACTTTTGAGTTCATTGGTAGTGGTGTTGTTATAGCTTTGCTGAATTATTTTTCATGTGGAACATTTGGAAAAGATAGACTTTCAGAGGCCAACCTATCCACGCTTAGACAGCAAGTTCTTTTAAGGTACAAGTCTTTCCTAAAACTTGCTCTTCCTGTTGGTGTCAAGGAAGGGAATGAAGTTCCTATGAGTATATTGGTTCAAAAGCTTCAAAATGCTTTATCTGCTTTGGAGCGTTTTCCTGTTGTACTTAGCCATCCGTCTAGATCATCTGGTGGTGGAAGTGCTCGCCTCTCTTCTGGTCTTAGTGCATTGTCACAACCCTTCAAGTTGCGCTTATACAGAGCACAAGGTGAAAAGTCTCTGCGTGATTATTCTTCCAATGTTGTACTCATAGATCCTCTGGCAACTCTAGCAGCTGTTGAAGAGTTTCTTTGGCCAAGAGTCCAAAGGAGCGACTCTGCACAAAAGATTTCATCATCAGCTGGAAATCCTGATGCCGCCACAGCTACCGGAGGCAGTGCTGCATCACCAGGCACATCAACTCCTGCTTCTAGTCATCGGCCTACAACAAGATCTAGGTCATCACTAACTATAGGAGGTTCAGTGGGAAAGGAATCTTGTGATAGAAATGCAAGCTTTTCAAAAGGGAAGGGTAAAGCTGTTCTGAAATCTACACCTGATGAGAAGAAAGGAGCCCAAGGGAGAAATACAGCCCGCAGAACATCAGCTTCAGAAAAAGACAGAGAAATGAAACCCTCACATGGCGACTCTAACTCAGAGGTTCACTTCATGAAACCTGAACTGTAATTCTTGTTCCATCTATGCTGTTTAAAACTTCTACATTTAGTAGAAGGCATTTTGACTTGGGATAGGGTGTAGTGAAGTGAAACAGGTTCGTTTAGCTGATAATTTAGATCACTTTACGTTTTTCCTCTTTTTTTAATAATCTTATTGCTCCGAGATCTCACCTTTACATTAACTCTTTTTTGCATTAATAATATGAAAACTTGTTTTTGCAATCTCGACCGGTCTCATAATTATCATTTATATACGCTATTATTACAGGATGTGGCAAAACTGAGAATTATTATTAATTGAAAATAATTATATTAGCAGGACTTTGAGAGCCACATCTATTGAAGATAAGATATTAACTCCACATTTTCTTAATATTCTAACTTTTCTTTATCCATCCTGTAATAATTCCTTTGGTGCCGCCTCCTGCCATGAATCAAGGTCTCATGGCTGCGTTGGTATTCAAGAAAACTTCTCCTAGTTGCCCATTTTTTAATTCAAACAATACCTTCTGTATTGAAATCATCGTTGGTGTGATTGCTCAAAAAAGTAGTCTTAAATGTCCAAAACTGAAATCCACAATCTTAAATCATGACCATCCCCTAATCATAGGACATAAGATGTATAGTAATTCCAAACCCTTATTCTATGTTTAATGGATTATACAAGCATAATTGCCCATTGGTCAACATTACAAGTAACTACTTTGGGACCATTTACTATCCATCATCAAAATAATTTAGGATATAAAATTTATTAATGCTCCTCCTGATATAGAACTATGAATGCTTTAAATGATGGATATAAGAATTTGCGCACTTTCAAATAAGAGCAATAATAATTAAACGTTAGCCACTTAACGAAAATAGAAAAACAAGAAAGGGGTGCCTTAGTTTAGGCCAAGACACACAATAATAGTTAGGATCACAAAACAATTATAAATTCAACATAAGCAAATATAGAGGATTTCCAATAACATCCCTAGATTAACAACGAGATTAGATGCATAGAAGTCCAACACTCATTCCCTACGTTTACTAAGCTTTGGCAGAGAGCTTTGTACGATTTCTTATGCTTGATACACAACCACAATCGAAGGAGAATAGGAAGGAAATTGAAGAGGGGGAAAGAGTTTACCCTTGTCTTGGCGTGGTGGTGATTTGCCACTGAACGGTGGAAAGCTGTTCTTCGATGGCGTCCGAAAGAGTGAATATGATACGCTCCAAGTATTCCTCGACGGAATTATCTACCTCCGGATTGATGTCGAAGAAATGTGATCGGAGGATGTCGACGAAGCCTTGTTCGTTGTAGATGAAGCCGGAGTCAAGTTCAGGATTGGCCATACATAGGATACTTGGCATTGAAGTATTGAAGATGCCCTTTGCTGTCCTTGATGATTCTTATTGAGAGAAAGAAGTTTCTCTAAGGATTCCAATTAGAAGAAGGGATGGAAGGGTGGTCGGCCAAGGTAGGAGGCTTGGGAGAGTTTAGGTTCATATTTCGGTGGAGTTAGGGTTAGGGAAAGGCCGGCTAGGTTAGAGAGGGAGGTGGGGAAATATGGTTCAGATTTTAAAGGGTGGAGGATGGAGGAAAATTAGGTAATGGTTTCCCTAATTAATCCTCTAAATTTGGAAGGATTTAATGGAGGATTGGAAAGAAAGGAATGGGGGGGGGGGGGGAAGGAGGGGGGGGGGGGGTAAGAGAGAGAGGAAAGGGTTTGAATTCTTTCCCATGGGAGATGCTTTATTTTGGAAAGCAATTAAATGGTGGGGATAAGGAGGGGGGCCAGCGGCATGAAGAGGGGGATGGGGTTTATGGAAGGGGATTTATTACTTTCTTAATTGGGAATCCCAAATTAAGGAGGGGGATTTAATTCCAATCCAAGTCAAAGTTGTTTTGGATTTGATATAGGAAACTTTCCTAAAAAAGAGTTCTATTTTAGGAAATAATTCAAAATTTAAATTGATTGAAGATTTGAATTTTAAGACTTTCCAAATGGGTTCGGAGGAAAAAGGAAAGTAGTAATGAGGGGGTTTTGAATGTGGGCGGTAAGGAGGGAAGGCCTATGGCCGGCGGCTAGGCTAGTTTAGGGTTTGTAGATGTGGTGGTGTGGAGGTGGGGATAGCCGAGTAAGAGAGGTGGTGGGGTGTAGTGGTTGGCTGAGAGCTAGGGATGTGGGCTTAGGGTTGGCCTACAGTGAGGATGCTTAGAGGTGGTTGGCGGCTTTGGGAGCAAGGCCTTGGCCGTATAGTGGAAGGGAAGAAGAAGAAAAGATAGGGAAGAAAATAGTCACGAATCCGGACGCTTACGAGGTTGGTGGGTGATCCGTTTCCCTCTCCTAGGTATTTCTCTCCAAAGCTCTAAAACTCACAAAAACACAAAGTTGTAGAAATTTTCATTATCATTCTTTATTAATTTGAAAAGAAAGATAAGGGGCTTATGAATAGCGTCATACCATGAAAGGGAACTAAAAAATAATATGGCCCTTAGGGCTTATATATGACAGACCCTTAAGTAAGGGTAAAATGGAAAATGCAAATAACAAAAATACATAATGCAAACAAATAAAACAAATACATATGATGAATTAAAAATAGATCGGCGCGATCGTGATCGTAAATCGTCGGCCACGTCTCTAATATACTTTCCATGAACTGATGTCCCCATCACTTCCTCTCACAGTGAATTCTAAGATATAGGTTTGGGAAGGAAAATTGGCAACATGAATGAAAATGTTAGTCTCTGCCTCCTAAATTATGAAGGGAATTCTAGAAGGCAAGAAATAAATGCTCAATATATATCTTCTTCTAACAAAAGCAGATTTATAATGAGGCACTTTAGCCTTGTTCATTCAATTTTCATGCAATAATATGCCTTTATCTTAACAGAAGGCCCCAAACCGTGAACAGCAAGCAGCCCAGAGCGAAGAAGGAACCCAAGTTGATTAGACCATCCCCCCCCCCCCCCCCAAACCTTTTTTATCCCCCCCCCCCTCAAAACCCTTATTAAAATTAGGATTTCTCCACTCCAGTTAATCTTGTTCTTTTCCACGATTGAGGTTCTTGAATGTTCACTTCACCACCAACCCTCTTCCTTAGCTGGTTCAGCCTTCATCCCTAGTTTTGGGCAGCAGCATGATCATACGAAAACTGTGGCAAATCATCCAACCACCAGCATCCAAGAAGCAATAACTGTGGTCTCTGTGGCCTTGTGTGTCCAAGACTGCAACAAAAACTATTCTGGAAGACAATAACAGCAGCTGATTTCTGAGAAAACAACCAGCAGCAGCAGGAGTAAGATATTAGACCTGCACAGTTTGGTTCCTACAGCATTTGGACAAAACAAAAAGGAAGAGATGGAGAGGGCAATGAAAATTATAGAAGAAAACTGTTTGGGATTGTATTTAGAATGTTCTTTTACAAACTGATATCCTCGTGTATTTATAGAATTCATACCCAAGGCCACACCAAGGCTATATAATATGAAATCAATAAACTTAATATCCAATCCACAACTGCCAAAACTTGAAATCTTTTGATTAGTTACAAAAAAAAAGAAAAAAGAAAAAAAAAAGATAAAAACATACTAACATTAACCTTAACCGGGTGCGAGGACGGAAACCTTCTAGGAGAGAATCTTGTTGTTTAGGTGTGATATTTTTACTTTTTATTTTCTTCCTTTCATTTTCTTTATTATTTTTCCTAGTTTTTCTCACGGCTGTTGTGCACCACAGTGTTAGACCGGTCCACTGGACTGGTTCAGGCGGGGCCGGTTCACGGGCAAAACCGCAAAACAGCGGAGAAAGAACTCCGCCTGTGCGGGATGCCGTGCGAGCTGCGATTTCACGGGACCATTTTAGGAAGGATTTTTGAGGAAGATTAGGAGGGAATTTGAATGTAGGGATTGTTTAGGGATCTCCTTTTGATTTGTATGCATTAAATAGTTGTTTTTCCTAGGGTTTGGCATCTTGAATTTGGCTGAAATTTGAGATCTTGTAGATTTAGGTTTCTTTGGGCTCTAGAGGCGTCTAGAGATTTGGGAGAGATCGATCCTCCTCTCGAATTGAGGATCAATTGTATCTTTACTGTTTTATTCATTGTTTATTGGAATACAAGTCTTTTTCTTGGTTTTCTCTCAGAATAGTGCTGTTTTTCTGCTGTCAACAGCAGATTTCTGCTGTTTTTCTGTTCTGGACAGCAACTTTGTCGCTGTTGGATCTCCGATTTGGGTTAGGATTGCTTGCGAACTCAAGTATTACCTTAGGGTTACTTGCGAACTCAAGTATTTCCTATCACACAGCCTATAATCCAATTTTTTTGTACCTAGTGGTAAGGCTTGCCATAATTTATAATTTGGAATTTATCCACCAACTTCAGGTGGCTTTTTGCTATTTATGTGCAAGAGCGTGTTCTTAACATTCACAGTTCTCTGGACAAAGTTTGCAAGCTCGGCCCAGTCATTCAGGACACAGCTTGCGGGCTTCTGACAGTTTTAAGTGATTGCTATTCACCCTAACCACACGAAGTAGATAGCACTTGGGTCTTGTTGCTTTACTTCACTAAAACTGACATTATAGTTTTGATTTATACCAATAGTATGCTATGGAAGCTGCTGTTGTACTACATCAGCAACACTTCCCTGACTTCACTACCGTGGACAACACACTTGTTTAGAAGCTTGTTCATGTCTTGTAGAGTAGCGGCATCTTTATTTCATAGAAAATTGCAGTGCAACAACAATGCAGCAACACCAAATGAAAACTTCATAGATTAGATCGTGTACTCCTTTCTGCAATTGATAAAGACTTCATTAAGTATTCTTTTGCTGGTTCTTTTACATCCTAGCCTAAAATTTTGTTGGAGAGCCTTGAGTGGTATAAGTTCTAGATACTTTACAATCATGAACCGTTAACTAGTAGGACTGCAGGTTTCCAGAATTCATTTTATTCTCTCTGATGAATGTACCTGGTATTATAGTAAAATACTCTACTTGTTCTGGCCCTTTGTTGTACTTACCGCTCTTCCTGTCTCGAGGCAAAATAAGTAGGATGGAAGACCTTGCTCTCTTCCAGTCTCTATGCTATTTCCATGTCATATTTTAGTTACCATTCATAATGATAGTGGTTAAATGCAGGATGACAACTTGGACGTGTCTCTTGTTGAGATTGACGACGCTCTAATGATTGAAGAAGATGATGTCTCAGATGATGAAGATGATTATCATGACGAGGTAACTTGTATTTATATTTCTTTGTATACAGTGATGTTTAAGGATACTATGCGTGTTTTGTTAATGATTTAAAATTATCAGTTGATAGGTAGTATGATTGTTTTTTATGCTCTTTAGAATTTTTGAAGTGGTTATTACGTTTAGAAGTTTAGCATCATGGAGGTTGCTTGCATATTTTTCTTGCAAGTTTTTTTTTTCTTTATTAGAGTCTTATAATCTTTTTCTTTTCAGGTTTTAAGGGAGGAATCTCTTCCGGTTTGTGCACCTGATAAAGTGCATGATGTGAAATTAGGAGATCCTGCTGACGACTCTGCACTCCCTTCTTCAACAAGTAGTGGACACACACGGCCTTCTGCTTCTTCAAATAAGACCGTACAAGCTAGAGGCTCAGAATCTACTGAATTAAGAAGTGGAAGTGCATTTAGTTCAAGGGGTGCAATGTCATTTGCTGCTGCTGCTATGGCTGGGCTTGCATCGGTAAGTGGTAGAGGAATCAGAGGTGGTAGGGGGCGTCGTGGACTTCCAAATGGAAATGAGAACAACGGTAAGTTGGTATTCTCTGTAGGTGGTAAGCAGCTTAACAAAAATATGACCATATATCAGGCCATCCAACGCCAACTTGTGCTAGATGAGGATGATGGTGATAGGTTAAATGGTTCTGAGCTTATGCCCACTGATGGAAGCAGATTCTGGAGTGATATTTTTACTATAACCTACCAAACTGCAGATAATCAGGCTGATGGGTCAGCTCTAGGGTCCTCTTCCTCAGCCAAGTCTTTGAAATCTAGTCCTGCCTCAAGTTCTGGTTCAGATTCCCGGCGTCAACAACTGTCTCTTCCTGATAGTATCTTGCAAGGGGAACTTCCTTGTGACATTGAGAAATCAAACCCCACATACCACATTTTGGCATTACTGCGTGTACTGGATGGTTTGAATCAGCTAGCTTCTCGTCTAAGGGCTCAAGCTGTGGTTGATGATTATTCTAATGGGAAGGTTACTAATTTGGATGGACTTTATGTAGCTGGTGTCAAAGTTCCACCAGAAGAGTTCATCAATAGCAAACTAACCCCAAAGCTTGTGCGACAGATCCAAGATGCTCTTGCATTATGTAGTGGTAGTCTTCCTTCGTGGTGTTATCAGTTGACCAAAGCATGCCCTTTTCTTTTTCCCTTTGAGACAAGGAGACATTTCTTTTATACTACTGCCTTTGGACTATCTCGTGCTTTGCATCATCTTCAGCAGCAACAAAATGCTGAAAATACTAGTGCCATGAGTGAAAGAGAGGTTCGTGTTGGAAGATTGCAACGGCAAAAGGTTCGTGTTTCAAGAAACCGCATATTAGAGTCTGCTGCAAAAGTTATGGAGATGTATTCTGGCCAGAAGGCTGTCCTTGAAGTAGAATATTTTGGTGAGGTTGGCACAGGTTTGGGCCCCACATTAGAGTTCTATACTCTTTTAAGTCATGACCTTCAGAAGGTTGGACTTGGATTATGGAGATCCAACACATCCTCAGAAATGCAAAATGATGGTGAGGAAGTGAGCATTGATGATTCCTCTGATGGAAAAAAAATGGCTGCCGAGTTTTCTGCTCAAAGTGATTTTGTTATAGCTCCTCTTGGATTGTTTCCCCGTCCATGGCCTCTAAATGCTGATGCTTCTGAGGGTAGCCAGTTTTCAAAAGTTGTCGAGCATTTTCGCTTAGCTGGTCGAGTGATGGCGAAAGCTCTGCAAGATGGTCGACTTTTGGACCTTTCCCTTTCGACGGCATTTTATAAGCTTGTACTCGGTCAAGTATGCTTGTGAAATTGGATAGACATTACTTTTTCTTGTTCTTGTTATTCTTGTTGGATATATTGTTGGGATTTATATTTTTTTCCCCCATTGCAGGACCTTGATTTATATGATATTGTTTCATTTGATAGTGAGTTTGGGAAGATCTTGCAAGAACTGCAAATCCTTGTTAGTAAAAAAAGGCTTATAAAAAGTGTTAGTGAAGGTAATCAAAGAGGGGCCAGTGATCTACATTTTCGTGGCACTCCAATTGAAGACCTTTGTCTAGATTTTACCCTTCCTGGGTATCCAGATTACATTCTTAAAGAAGGAAAAGAAAGCATGGTGGTACTTGTTTATATTTCAGCAATCATTTCTTCTGCATTGATATAATGTTTGTATTATTTAAAGTACAATTGTTTGTGTAGGTTAATATTGATAACTTGGAAGAGTACATTAGTTTGATACTTGATGCTACAGTCAAAACTGGGATTATGCGGCAGATGGAGGCATTTAGAGCAGGATTCAACCAGGTAATTGCCCCCCTCCAAGGATTTTCTCCTCACAGCTTCTTGATTTCAGTGTGGAGTTTTATGTGGGCATTCAGAAGTAGATTTTACTTTGTGGATGTTCTGTATTTGTGTGTCTTAACATGCTTTGTCTTCTTGATTTTACGGCAGAATTTTCTTTTGGTATTCAGGAGTAGCTTTGACTTTGTGGACATTATGTATTTGTATGTGTTAGCATCCTTGAGCGGACCAATAGAGATGTCCTTATATGCTATGTCAGTTGTGTTTTACATTTCGTCACTGCTTCTGGCTTGTAGTAGTGTTGTTATCACTGTTCTGATCAAACTTGACCTTTTTTCTAGAAAACATATATGTGTGTTGAAGCAAAGATTTAGCATTATTAATAGCATATTTTTGTTGACCACTGACAAGTCCAAGATCGACCCCACCTTATGCCGCAGAGGTTCTCTTAAATATCTCCGCTCATGAAAATAAAACTCTCAGACGAACCTCTATCCCTCTCATTAAAACACACGCAGAGACAATAAAGGAATATTTGTCTCTCTTGTTTTCCCTCAATCACATGCAAAAATGCCGCTCTCTCCCTCTCATCTCCCTCGGCCATCGTCCCAACATTCGATCCAACCACCCTATTCGCACGCAGGGACTTCCAGCACACCAATCCAATGCAACCTGCCTCCGACTTGCATCATGCATGTCTGCTCCAGCTCCCACGCAAGCCCAACGTGCACGTCCAACTCACTCATCCCGTGTTTGTACACCCTCCTTTCCTGCACGCACAACACTGGCCCAGTCCGGCCCCGCAGTCTTCGCTCGAGTGCCCACCTCCAGCCTTTCTCCGACCCATGTGCAATTTGTGCCTGAGCATGCATCCGACTCATCTATTCGGTCTGCCATCTTGCTTTCTCACTCGCTCTCCAATGCACAAGCACTTATCCCGTCTCTGTTCACCAATTGCTCTATCCAACTTCCTTTTAAGTCCAACCCTTCTACTTGCACTCGGTCTTATCTTCTGTTCTCTGTTATCGTAGGTATATAGATTTGGGCAAGTATGTAAAAAATGATAAATAAATAAAATAAAATAAAGCAACATGTACCTATCAATTTGAAGAGTTGCGCCGTTGTATTTTTAATCCGGGTAGAATGTTTGATTTGAAGCCCTCGTGCCTGCGTATCTTTGATCCGAGCGAGAAGAACAATGGCAAGTGCAGTTCAAACCTCCCTTCACAAGGAGGGGATGCTGGGAGGTTTCCAAATTTCCAAGAAAATGTTAAATAAATGAATAAATAAAAGCATGTACTGTTAACTTGAAGAACTATGTTGTATCTTTGATTCGAGTAGGAATATTTGATTTAAATCCCTCATGTTATTGTATCTTTGATCCGGGTGGGAAGAACTATTGCAAATGCTATCCCAACTTCCCTCCGTGGGGAGAGAATGTCGGGAGATTATCGAAAATGAACGACGGACGGCATTCACATAATTAAATTAAAATGAATTTTTGAACAAAAAAAATGAACGAAATAATTTATTAATTCCTATCTTGGGTCAAAATGCTCGTCCTTTGCAGATACCCATAACAATATGATACTAATATCATGATTCTCAATCATCATTCAATTAATTAATGGTAATCTTGAATCCATATGTCACGACCCGGCCCGGCTAGCCCGAATTAACGGGCCGAAACAGACAGTCATACATATAACAATCAAATCATAACAGTCTCATTTCATAAAAGATATAAACCTAAACATCATCCATACAATGTAAGAAAGAGCCACTAAACATCCAAACTGAATGTTTTCCAACAAATTCATCAAAACATACATCCACTTAAAATATAAATATAATACACCAACTGAATTCACAATACATCCAGTGACTCAACTCATAACAGAAAAAAAAATAAAGACCTGAAATCCTGAGGTACTCTATGACGGTAGGTAAATTATCGTCTTGCCATCACTTCTTATTAGTTTTTCCTAAAAAATATTTCCAAAAGTAGGGTGAGCGAACGCTCAGCAGGTAATAAACATTTATCTTAAATTCATGAAATAATTTTAAACATGTCATTAAGCATGAATTAAATCAATAAAATATTATTCTAAACATTTGATAGACATAAGCTATAAAACACTTTCATAAACAGTTTTCTTGAAACCTTTCCCAACTTTTTTCCTTTCCTTTTTCATAAACTTTCATAAATTTTTTCTTTCTTTAAAATGCATAAAATACATAAACATAATATATAATAAGCACCCATCCTGGAAGTACTAGAATTTTGTACTAATCAGGTACACAGTAAAGTTTTTGGCCATTCCTTTACCATTTGGCTCCGTAGAACCCTTTTACCATTGGCTCCGAAGAACCCCTTTACCATTTGGTACTTCGGATCATCATGTACATGCAAATTGTTATATATATATATATATATATACATCATAGAGACTAATTTATTCAGAAAATCATATGTTTTTCAAAAGTCTTTATGTATAATTCGATATCAGTTTTGCCTTGAATTTGGTTTTACAGGATTTACATTCCTAAAAAAAATATAAATACAATGACATGAAAAACATAAATGAAAAAAAAATAAAGCAATTAGAGAAATCATAAACATTAACATGTGAAAATTTCCTCAAAAACCATAAATTTAAATTCATGAACCTAATTTAAATGCCAATACTTACCTCGCAAGTATCACAAAGCAATCTCTACGACGTACGACGTCATTTAGACAGGTCTCGTTCCCTTAATGTTCAAAACTTAAGATTATACATAAGAAAATGTCATCAATAATTACATCTTAAATTATCGAAACTTTTCATAAAATTATTAATTTTCAATAAAATGATATTAAATTTTTTTATTAGCCACACTAATATTTTATAATAATTAATATTAATTTTCGGATTTATTAAATACCCAAATTTTTTGAAACCTAAATTCCATTTTTCACATCCTAAAAGCATGCCAAAGTTTCCTCTAAACCTAATTTAATAATTACCTTAATCATTTTCGGAATTATTAAATTTAAAAATTATGAAAAATATATTTTTTGTTAAAAACCTAAATTTCTACCCTTAAAACATTCCTAACATCATATAAAATAAAAATCATAAAGAAGTTTGCTTGAAATTTACAAATTAGGAAAAACCCTAATTTTCCAAATAAAAAAAATTCATAAAACTTAAATTAATTTCCATAATTATCTTCCTAACACCATTAGGAAACATTTTTGTGAATAAATTTTGAAAGAAAAATAACTTTGAAGAAAATCCTAATTTTTCTCTTCCAAAAAAAATCTTTGAGATAAGATGGAGAATGCTTAAATTAAACATATCTTCTTCTTCCCTTTAGTCTCCTCTACGATTTCTCCAAATCCCTTCGCCGGAAACCGCCGCTGGAGATGTCGTCCGATCCTTGCCCCTGTGTCTCCCCCTCCTTGTTCGTCCGCTTGGGATGGTTCGGCAGAACAAACACACGAAAGGAATGAAGAGGTTTCGGCCTCTTCATTATTTAGGGAGTTAGGAATTGCCAAAGTATCATATTGCCCTCACCTAAATTATCTCGACTTTAATAATTATTAAGGGTAGTTTAGATATTATGAATCTTTCATGATTTTTAATTTCAAATTTAAGAAAAATTAAATATAGGCTCTTTAGATCGATTTGCTCAGAATTTTGCATAGAATTTTATAGAATTAGTTTCGTCGAAATACGACGACTTTGAATTTTCACTTAAATTTCATCACGATGCATCAAAATGCGTGAAATGCCTACGATTGTCAATTTCAGGTTTTACACCCTATTTTTTTTATAGAAGAATAAGGTGTGATAATTTAACTAAAGGACATTAAAAATATAATCTCTCCTCCATTTTGAGAACATTCTATTAGAATGCACTCAACAACCTTTCCGACCATCTGATCTTAACTAAACAGACCTGATTCTATGAAATAACTTTGATTTTCCTAACCATGTATTTCAATGACATAATATATGCAGAATTAACTGAGTGCTCAAACTAAAGGCTCATTATAAGTCAAATAGTAGAAATGATCCAATCTTCCCTTATTTAAATCACCTGCCAAACAATTCTCCTTTTCATTTCCTCCTTGTTGTTCTATGAACAATCATCACAATCAAACTGCACAAATAGTTTGATATTGCCAATCTCAAAAAGAGAAAAGATCCAGCCACGCTTCTCATTTTCTCAGGGAATTGCTTATAGTAGAATTCAACTTGACCGATTGCATTAGAAGCTTCTAAAAATGCAAAAATCTTGAGTTAGGGGATCAGCCAAAAGCTTGACATCGATGAAATGTCTTTGTTGCTCGAACAGGTGAATTCATGAACTGCAATGTTCCTCCTTTTCTCCTCAGTTGAAACCAATAAGGCGATGGTAGAGATGAAAATTCTAATTTCAATTCTATGAGAACTTTCACCGCTCAATATATTCCACTTGTGCTCTGATCTTTTTATAAAGCTCCTAAATGCGAGATCTGAGAATGTTTCGTGGATTTGTTAAAAGTTCAAATCACCCCGATGATGACCGTGTTGAAAGCTAATCTTAATTGGAGGGGATCATGCTTTTTAAATGCCTCCAAAATTCTAATAAATACAAATATTTGAAATAATTTTAACGTAATCCCGATGATGACCATGTTAAAAGTGAATCTTAACCAGATGGGTCAATCCTCAAAGCCTATTAAAAATTTAAAATTCAAAATCTAATCAAATTCTAAACATTTAAATGGAAATCTTATCACCAAAATTTTTAAAACTAAAATTCATTCACACTTCACAACAGTTTGACGTGGATGATAAATTGAAGAATTACTTCAGCTCATAAAGTGCAGTTATCTTGTGAAATGAATTACCATAGTTCATTCTCAGTTGATTCATCGCTAGCAGGGACGTGACACGTGCTCTCTTACCAGATGATTTTGCTGTAAATTGACACCATTATATTACAGTTATAGCCAAAACTCATTCCAT